GGTCAAAATTTAAGGTGTCCTCTATCTACCTGGCAAAACGCATTATTATCAGCCTCGCTTGGTACAAGTGTGTTTGGAAAGTCTACTCTTATAAAGTCGTGATAATTCCATGTCTGGGGAGCTTCAGTCATTGCCATCCAAACCTTCAACAGAAGAGAATTGTTAACGAAATCGAAGAAAAGAGTTTACTTCTGCAGTGAAATTTACTGATTATTTTGTGCCTTAAAATCCAATTTGAATTAGGATTTGGTCAAGTTTTCATTCAGTCTCAGGACAAGCGCTGYCGTGGATATTGAGACTTATAACAGAGTTTGCTTTAAGAATATCAAGCATACCACATCGATGTCTTTATGGCGTCYATCAAAGGTTCTTGCTTCTCTCATACAAACAATGAAATCGTTTGTGGTGATTCCTTCCACCCAAACTGTAGCTGCATCATGCTTGKTGTCCAACACATTGTGATGTGCAGTAACGAAGACATGAGGAACACTTGGAAAGGACTAGGGAATAAGGAGAAAAAATAATTAGTTTGAAGGAAAAAAAAACTGGAAAGAAGAAAGAATAGAAAAAGGAAACGGRTACGAAAAGTTCAAGAGAGAAGAATTGATGATTGAGACAAGACAGTCACTAATAGATACGTTCTGAGGGGTGAGGAATAAGTAGAGAAAATTTCAGGTGAGAAAAASGAAGAGAGAAGGAAAGAATGAAAAAACAATAAATAAGCAGAGACTCATTTCGGAATTGAAGGAAAAGAGTGAGTGAGCTGAGCAAGAAAATAGAGTGACTTGAGCCAAATAGAAGAATGAGAGGTGAGGGGCAAMATTTATTATGACTACTGAAGAGAAGTGGAATGCGCATGATTTTAGAGAAATTGAAAGAAAGAAAGACTCAAAAAAGCAAAAAGGGAGCAAAAAAGGGAGAAAAAAAAGCATGTTCTCCCTAAAAATCTTTATCTATCACATACGTGAGAGAAAGTAACTTGTTTGCACTCCGTTCYCGTCGTCCAGTCGTTCAACCTCACAGAGCCGTCTGTCACACCAGACTGCACGCCTTGGTAAGCCATCCAATTTATAGTCACATTACCTCTTGATCCAACCCCATTCTCGACCAGACAGACTTTAAAACTACTTGTAGTGACAGACTCAACCCACGTGAACACTACGTCATGTACACGTGATGAGCTCGTGCCAAATCCAACTGACGTAAAGACTTTGACAGGATCAACTCCAGTAAAGGTCGTTGGGAAGGTGATAGTATCGCAGTAGTAATTATCAGGGTTTGTCTGGCCGATGCGAAGAGTTCCATGTTGAACTCCTAAAAAATACAAATGTAAATTATAGTAAATTATAGCATTTAGTAGGATTTTTCAATACAAAAGAGTTTAATCTATTCTGTGAAAAAGTACAAAATTTTTTGAAAAAACGATTCTAAGTTAGGAATATTTTTTGKCTGAAGATAACACWTTTAAAGGCCTMARTGGTTGTACTT